GTTTGGGAGGAGATCCGGCTGGAGAGCACAGTGAGTGGGGGATGCATGATCAGTGAAGAGACGGTTTCAAAGGAAGGTGTTGAGAAGGAGCCAAGTGGACGGAGAGTTTTTGTTTGATGGTGTGTATCCTTTTACACCTTTAAATGCTTCCACGGTCTCTACCACCCAACCTCAGCGACCTCGACAAACACTACCAACCAGGACACTCATTTCTCTCTGTCAGGACATGGATAATGGTTTCGATTCGATCCATAGAATGATTAAAATCCACTGAGTAGTCATAGATTGAGAGACCAACATTGTTTGCAAGGGATTATTACCCCTTGAAAAGTGATTTGCCAATCGGTTTACAAAGGAGGTCTTACTCACTGCTCGGTAAACAGAGGCGTGTGTGCGTTGTGGGGAATATTGCCTGAGGTTTCATGGGGCCTGGAATCGAACCAGCGTCCTCTCGTTGGCGATGCGAGTGTTACTCCCTCTCCGCTAAAGGTCTCCGTGAAATTTAATAAAACAACAGAGCCATGATTTATTTTCATTTTTTTCGTAAATCGAAGTAAATCAAGAGCAGCTGGAACTGTAGCTACTCATTGATTGTTTTCTGCCTTTATTGTGCCATATGATGATGTGAATGTTTAGCTGAAAAGTTGACGTGAGGTGAATGTGGTTTCCTCTGAGTCTGACTACAGACATGTCTGATCCCCGCAATGCCTAAGGGCCTGACCAGGTTGACGCACACACTTCAACAGACAGATCATCCCTATGTACAAAGTGAAGGCAGTTTTTGTACGAGACTTGCAGTGCAGTCTATCACTGTGGTGAGATTAAGGCACAGTAATACACAGCGCTGTCAGACACCACCAGCTCAGAGATGGATAAACTGGTGGATGAAATGGATTTGTGCAGCTGAGCAGAGAAACGATTTCCAAATCCTGTTCCTCTGTACTGATTTGTATTCCCAGAATATCTCCGAACTATTTACTCTGGCTGCTTGTCTGTGTAATGTGGGTACCAGGAGAGATCGTAATCGCTTAATTCAGTGGAATAAGTACATTCAAAACTCGCAGTATCTCCTTTTCTCTTAACCATCGAGGCAGCTTTCTGACTGACAGAATCACCATCACAGAGTTCTGTAACAAACATGGATTATATTATTCTTCACTGTTTGCTTGAATTATTTTTCTCAGCGCTTATCCTGATGAGAAAAGTGCTGCACACGTGTAATTTGCTAATAATGAAATAATAATAATCAAATTCTTTTACATAGCACATTATCGCATTTTTGAAACTCCTGAAAGCGCTTCACACAGTATGCGGCAAAGTTAATTCCTGTGTGTCTTTATTGGGGAAAAGCAGCAGCGAATTGCGCAGTGCATCGAGGCACATTATATAGTGGAATGAGTTATCAAGTTATCCATTTACACCATTTAAACGATTATTAACTCGGATAAGCGATCCATCAATCTACTAAAAATATTTGAGAAATCATTACAATTTGGAGGGTGTTATTATTCCTTATGATAAAACGGGTGATGAAGCAAACAGTGACCTACATATTGCTGGGTAAACAGATGCGTGTGAGTGGAGTGAGGAAACTTGCCAAGATTTTGCCCTGTTCTGCCGGGGAATCGAACCCAGGTCCTGTCGCTTGCGGGGCGAGTGCACTAAACACAAGGATACATGACTGCCTCCGCCAAATGTTGTTAACATAGTGCTAACAATCATCACTAACATTGAATTAGTTCAACACTGCCTCACCTGACATGAAGGATCCCAGCACCAGACAGACAGCAAACAGCCTCATTGCTGCTCTTCAGTCTGTGTGGTTGTGTCTGTTCCATCAGTTTGCTGATAACCCGCATTGATTGCCGTCATTAGCGGAGCCACAGTCTCACGTCACCTCATTGGCATCTCAGCCGCGTTTCAATACAACAACCAATTTCATTTATACAGCGGCCTTCATCAGTCACTGGTTGGGAGGGGGGAGTGAGGCAGTTGAGCTTGTGCACCACTGAGCTACAAGACTCCACTAATAAAAGCTATGCAATCACTATTGCACATTGACTGAAAAATTGGCTATTTATCTTAATTTATCACCTATCAGAAAAGCAGCCAGAGCCGCCCCGATCATGATTCACCATTGATTGAGATCTATTTGCAGATGCCCATGATTACCTGTATAATTCATGAGGTGACTGGCTCCAGGCCCCGCAGTGTGGTGTCACTTTTGCCGTCCAATAGGTAAAATACAATGTATTAATTTGATCAGAAACATATTCTTATCAATGATTTTTATTTGATGAGAACCGTAGGTTCGTGGGTTCTAACAGCACAGAATGAGACCACAGTGCCTATCCTGTACCACCAACGCTTTTACATGAGTAAATATTCCTTCAATAAAATATAATAAATATAAATTTGTCCTCTACTGTTTGTGGGACAATGCGGTCTGCAATTCGCTAGCGAAATTCGCCACCGAAATATACAATGAATTCGCTTAACAGTACATTGCTTGAAGCGTTTTGAGACGCCTCGAATTCGTGAATAGGCGCTATATCAATTGCAAGGATTATTTACTTGTTAAATATGCTTAATGTTGTTTCGAATTTAGACATGTTTTGACATTGACATTGAAAGCTGCAATCCAAGCTGTTTCCACCACGCTTTCGTACTGTGCACTCTGAAACGTAACAAATCTCTTCGTTAAACAATATATCTTTGCCAACATTGATTATTTTGCCAATAATCCACAATCTGCAAAAATATATCCAGAATCTATAAATGTTTAATACGTAAACGAAGTGTGACATAGAACATCCGTTTAGAGTTTGGACTGAAATTCAATTCCCGATTCAATTAGTCTCCGTCACATAAAATTAATGTCCACTCAATATGTCCCTGAAGTATATACATTTAACCTTCGCTGAGAGCAAAAACCCAAAACTCTTTTGCAAAATGAAGAAATATATCGAGGAATAGTTATAACTGAAAGTATTACACATTCTATAATGTCAATTGAAGAGAGTGTAAATTTCAGTAAATTAGCAGGCAATTCACTTTACAGTGTACTCTGTGAAGCGCGTTGGGGGAAGTCTCGAAGACGTAGTAAAGCGCTATATCAAATGAAAATATTATTATTTCTTTCACTCTTTCCCTACAGGAACTGCTCTATCACTTCTTGCCTGTGATTGTAAATTAGTCTCGTGATTCTTCTGAGTGACAAAGCAGGAAAGTCACTTTCTGTGAAATAGGTCAACTGTCAGCAATAACATCTGTGTTGAGATGAATCCCTTTGTCTCCTCTATGGAGGTTTATGTACAGCGGTGTTGTCTGACAGAAACACATTGTGCGTAATGGAACAGTAATATGTATCCGTGGTAGATAGAGCCAAGGGCAACACAGTTAAAAAGGATCTATTCCTGCACTTGTCCAGAATAGTGAGTGAAACTTTGTGTTGCAAATTCAGCACTGAAAGTGTCCCCATCATAATCATGTCTCCGTGCGTACAGTGGAGACTCCACTGGATACTGACGGTACCAGAATATTAAAAGGTAGTTGGAATCAGCAGAGTAGGGCAGCTCAGTGAAATATAGACTTGCCATCAATAACAGACACTTCCATCTGATTCAATGGCTGTTCCTATAGCGAGAGGACATGGTAATTATTCGCTGTCACACAAAGGCCTGAGTTATATCCCCAAATTGTTTCGGTGAGTTAGAATGACTTACACGTTAGGCCCAATAATATTTAATTGAACAGCGCAAAGTATATAAGCTCCACGTTTGTAAGCGAGGAAGTACAATATTTGATGTGAAGATTTGAGATATTAGGTGACGTCCTGAATGTGCTTAAAAACAAAATTGGAATCAATATTGAACACTCCTCTAATGGGCAACTCCTCTGAGGCAGAAATAGATATGTTTTCAGGGCCCCATCTCCGGATTTGGGCATCTATATTATAATATGGTGTTCTGATGCATCGCTGTTGTGTGGAACGTGCCAGACTTCGAATGAGATTTTAAATTTTGATCCCATCAGTCTCCTAAGTTAGAGTATAATAAATCTGTGCAATTTTCCTCAGGGAAGTGCAGCAGCAAATTTCGTCTGCAAGGTGTCCCAAAAGAAGGCAATGGGAGCCCTTCGAGCAATGCCGATGAATCTCAATAAGGCGATGGTCACATCAGTCTCAAGTCCACACAGCTATGGCACAGTCACTCTGGTTTACGGTGTATTCTGTGAAACGCTGGTAGACATCGCAACCAGGCGATAAGGCGCTATATCAAATGCAAGGCTTATTATGATTATTATTGTTATAATTATGAACAATCTACCTCTGGAGTTTCCATATGTAGGTGGGTTGCGTGGAATTCTTAGTTGGGTATGGATGTTCTTGATCAACGGTTGTGGGTTTCTTCCTGTGCCAATCAATCGACTAACCAAAAAAAAAATTATTTGGGACTTTCATAGAAGTTTCGGCTGGACAAGTTCCTACCGCTTGCTGACAACAACAGCGAAAACGTGCATTGATGTTGACTGTGGCAACAGAGCGGGCGAACATGGCGCATGGTCTGCGGGGCTAGAGGTGGACTGGGCGGGGGACTCTAAGCAGGCTGGAGCCCGCTGAGCGTAGGAAGCGGGCACAACGTTTTGGGGTTAGGAATTCGCATATGGCGCCCAGCACACATCTTAGCGCCCCGGAGTGCTTGACAGTGACCCCAGAGTCAGTGGTGGGGGGAGGGGGAGGTGACCCTAAACACGATCAAAATGGAAGATTCAAGTGGAATTTGGAGATGATGAGTTAGGTTGAAAGACGGAGCGATTGATGGAGAGAGTTCCAGAGATTAAACAGTTAACGGACCGTTTATTGCGAGCTTCGTGCGGTTTCCTTTCCAGTCAGAAGCAAAGTCGCTTTCATACTGCCGTGAAACGCCGCCTCATCGGGATGAATGCCTTCACCTCTTAAAGCCAAGACAGTTCTTGTATGGGAATATAGCTGACTTCTATCATGGTGGTGTAGCGTGACGAGAGAGAGAGAAAGCACAGCAGTACATTGCGGAGTCATCTAGCTGAACATCACTGATGGTTATGAAGAATCTTTTGTCAAGTTTATTCATTTTAGAAGAAAAACGTTTGCTGATGTCCTTCCCTTTGCCGTTGCTGTTTGAAGCACTCCGCCAAAGAACCATTTCGGGTGTTTTACCCGAGTACTGTTGGTACCAGTACAAGTGATAAAACTGAGCTGTTGTGGAATAGTTACAGTTATCTTCAAACCTATGGCCCATTTTCAAGTTGACCGATGAAAACTCTTGAGATACGGAATCTTCTCGGCTCATGCCTGCAACGAGAATATCAAACATTATTGGTCGAAAAAGGACATGGGTGCCGGAGGACGCCATCAGTGGGATCCCAACATGTTGCATAGTGCCTTAATAATTCTACCGGTATGACAACTCACTTCACAGCATTCTCAGTATCAAGTGTTTTGTCTGTGTGATGATCAGCAAAGACGGCAGCTCAACTGCAAACAGTATTGTCACACCAAAGCGGTGAAGCAAGTGAATTATTCTGTTTGTTTGGTAAATAGTATTGCCCAGGATATAATAATAATAATAATAATAATAATAATAATAATAATAATAATTCTTGCATTTGATATAGCGCTTTTCACGTCGGGAGGACGTCCCAAAGCGCTTCACAGGACACACTATAAAGTGATTTGACTGTATATATTGTGGGCGAACCCGGCAGCCAATTGCGCACAGCAATGTCCCACAAACAGTCGTAGATTGAAAATGACCAATTTATTATTGTTTTTTGTTTGGAGGGATTATTATTAGGCTCTGTGTGGAGTAAGGAAACTTGCCCAAGGTTTGGCCCTCTGCCTGGAATTGAACTCAGGTCTCTCACTTGCAAAGCGAGTGCTCTAACCACTGAGCTACAGGACTCCACGATATGAGGAACAGCTCGATTCTCTGTCGGAATAGTGCAACTGAGTCCTGTAGCTCAGTGATTAGAGCACTCGACTCAGCAGCGAGAGGACCTGAGTTCGATTCCCGGCAGTGCCAAACCTTGGGTAGGTTTCCTTACTCAATATCCTCTTTTCCTTGAAGTAAGTGTTAGCCAATTGACGGATCGCTTTTCGGGGGGTAATAATTCCTTCACCATAACATTAATCCACGACTGTTTGTGGTAAACTGCTGTGTGAATTTGGCTGCTGTATTTCGCCTACAATACTTACTGTCAATTCATTTTAAATTGTGTTCTGCGAAGCGCATGAAGACGTCTCGAAAACATCTTAAGGCGCCGTATCAAATGCAAGGATTATTCTGGTTCAATAAATTGGCAGACATTTTTAGTTCTTAATCGAAGAGTGTGTCACACCGAGCCAGACTCACATCGTGTCACGGGGGAAACAATTGTAAACCTCTTACCGATTATCATGAAGGTCCATAGAAACAGGACAAGACACTTGAATTCTCTGTACTTGGATGGCAGCATGTTTTCATTGATAGCAATGCAACCTGAAGCACAGAGAAAGGACGTGAGCTGTGACTTCACTTTATGCAGTTGAACATTCAGTGGAGGAAGATAACTGCATTTCGCAGGCGGGTACTGGAAAGGAAATTACATCAGGCAAGATATCTGACGACATATCTCCACCCACGTTACACACAGAAACCTATTCAGCCATTTTAATCTCAGCCGCGGAACCATCAAAGTTTCAGGAACAGAAGATGGAAACTCAGACATGGTGTCTGGGCTGTTTCCATTTCTAAAATAATCATTTGCGACCCATTTAGCTGTATTTTTCCATACCCCTGGAGGCAAGACTGACACTCTCATCTCCATGATATAATCAGGTTAATATTCAAATACTGGTTGTTGGTGTAACTGAAAGTACCGTCAATTTCAACTATTTCCAGCCTCAGGTCTTTTAAAGTATTCATCTAGTTTCGCTTGAAAGCTGATATGGATTCGACTTAAAGCGCTGCCTCGCGAGAATAATACATATTGTGTCCAAAATGTAAGAGAAAAAAATAAATACCCTACTTATTATTATTATATATACACATATTCCTGAAGCTCAGTGTACAGAGCAAATGCCTCGCCTGGGTAACAAACGCTCCGATAAATGAATGAATGAACACATGAAAGAACGAACGAACAAAAAAAACAAACAACCAAGCAACCAACCAAGTAAACAAAAATACAAAAAATACAAAAGAAAATAAATACATACAGAAACAGGAAAAAACATTAAATAAATAAGTAAATAAATAAATAAATAAATAAATAAATAAATAAATAAATGAATAAATGAATAAATGAATGAATGAATGAATGAATGAATGAATAGATGAGTAGATGAATAAATGAATAAATAAACAAATAAACAAATAAACAATAAACAAATAAACAAATAAACACATAAATAAATGAATAAACAAACAAACAAACAAACAAACAAAGAAAGAAAGAAGTGAAATGAATGAATGAATGAATGAATGAATGCATGAAAGCATGAATGAATGAATCAGTCATTCATTCATTCATTCAGTCAGTCAGTCAGTCAGTCAGTCAATCAATCAATCAATGAGCAAATAAATAAACAAATAACCAATCAAATGAATGAATGAATGAGTGAAAGAATACATGTATACTTTCATAGAAACATGCATACATACATACATACATACATACATACTTACATATATACATACATACATACATACATACATGCATGAATGCATACATACATTCAAACAAACAAACAAACAAACATACAAACATAATTAAATAACCAAACAAATAAGCAAATACATAAATAAATATAGCAACAAATAAAATCAAAAATATGATCAAACATTAATCCATCCCCTTTCTGGGACACTGCTTTGAGCAATTTCTTATACTAAATATGCAGCCAACTCACTTTACAATGTACTCTGTGAAGCGCTTTGAGACGTCTTAATAATAATCAGGGCTATGTGAGGTTGATCTCCAACTCCCTCGTGGGATGAATAAGTTGTGTTTGCGACAGTAAGATGTGATGTTCCCTTTGTGTCTGTGTCTCGTTTCCCTTCCCACAGGAAATCGCTGCTGCGGCCTAGAGAGACAGAAGCACAAACCCACTAAATGCTGATAGTTTTTGTACGAGACTCTGACTGGTTCCCATCACTGTGTGGTTGGAGAGCACAGTAATACACAGCGCTGTCAGACAGCTCCAACAGGGAGATGGTTAAACTGCAGAATTTTGTCGAGGTTTGGAGCTCTGCAGAAAACCGCTTTTTAGCAAAGTCTGCTTTATATGCACTGCCATCGGAATACGTTTTAAGCACATACTGTGGTTGTGTTTCTTGTTGTTCGCGATACCAGTGTAAAAAGTAACTACTCAGAGACGTATCATAATGACATTCCATGGTCACACTTCCTCCTTCTTTCCCAATCACTGAAGCCACCTTCTGTGTCACAGCATCTCCCTGGGTCAGGCCTGAAAGACAAGAGCGTGGATTCCTGTAGCTCAGTGGTTAGAGCGGTCGCCTCGTAAGAGATACGACCCGGGTTCGGTTCTCGGAGAGGACAGGGCACAATCTTAAGCAACAACAACCACAACAAGATTTCATTTATAGAGCCCCTTTCACGTCGTTTCCTTAACGCACACTCCTCTGGTTACCCAACACTAAGTAGAAATATGTTGGTTAAACAATTAGCTGATCCCTATCCGGGAATAACATTCCGTTCAAAAAGAAAATAACAGACATTTTTTAAATGTAGTCAGTGAATGGTTGATAATTTGGGGGACAATACTGTGCGCAGTTGGCTGCCGAGTCTCCCTCGCGAAACAGAAAGTCTCTGCAGTTGACAGTATATTACTTGAAGCGCCTTGAGACTGCTCGAAAACATATTGAAGCGCCATAAAAAACACGATTACAATTATTATTATGTTTAATAATATGAGTAGGAAAGGAAACCGATTGAGTTACAAGATTTAAAAAAAATTGAAAGATTTATAATTGTTATAATAAATTACCTATTAAAATGGCAGCGAGAACCAGACACAAACTGCTTCCCTCCAACCCCATCACTTACTCCACAACTGAGCTCTTGAGTGGATAAGTTAATGGTGTTGATCGTAGGCGTATGGCTTTGAATCTGGTTGACACTTGATCGCTATGACCTCACTTCCTAATCAAGTGAAGCGAGCATCGTCTGCTCAACGTTGGAGGGAAGTTAAAGTGTCACAGTTCATCTTCTGGGGGGAAGTAAGAGTGAATTTCCTTCGAGCCCATTCAATTTAGTGACAGGCTTGACACAGAAAGGAAGACCAGATTTGTTGGTTTCCATGATATCAGAGAGGTAGGATTGTAAATAACCAAATAGGGATTTAAAGGTGAGTGTGAGGATCTTGAATTCGGTCTGAGGCGGTTGAATTCGCTGGCGAATGGGAGCGAGTGGATTGGGATAGTTTCAGATCAAAAACGAACGTAATCGTGTGTGAAAGTAACAGAACATACAGATTTTTGGATAGTACGCAATTTGTGAAGGGAAGGGGCAGGTTATAGAGTAAGCAGACACTTTGTGTAATCTTGCCTGGACATGATCAACGCAAGAATTTAGATGTAAAATCAAGGAAACCAGCAGCCGAGCCTGAAAGAATAAATGTTCGCCTTCCATTACATTACATTACATTCTCATAATATTCATAAGAGCGCTCCAGGCTGGGCACTCCAAAGCCCTCGGGTGGCTGAAGATATTTCTTCACCAAACTGTACTGAAGGGGTGGTCCCAAGCTGGACGAGCAGTGAGAAACCTTGCCAGATGGTGATATCAATAGCAAGCTGTGCAGTTTTAGCTGGTTAGACTCCAGCAGTTACCCCCAACGCACGCTCTGGGGTCCCCAAGCCTTGGCTCTTGCCAACCTGCACCTAGAACTTTCTGGAATTAGGTTCACAGGATGCATCCCTCCAGGGAGAGAGTGCGCATTTCATTCCGATAATCTATCTCTGGGATTTCCATGTGTAGGGGGGGCTGCGTGGAATTCTCAGTTCGGTTGGGATACTCTTAAGAATGGTGATGGGTTTTGGCACGTGTCGGGCACCCGGCTGACCAAAAAAAGGATATTTCCATCCATCTATTCCTTTATCATGGCTCATTGGCTATTTGATTTCCTTTCTTCCCAAATACCAGTATCCAGTCTCTGCGTCATACAGAGCCCAACAGCATTGATACATGTGACAGTTTGGGTAATAATAATCCCTCCAAAATAAAACAATAATAAATTGGTCATTTTCAATCTACGACTGTTTGTGGGACATTGCTGTGCGCAATTGGCTGCCGCGTTCGCCCACAAATATACAGTCAATTCACTTTACAGTCAATACTGTGAAGCGCTTTGGGACGTCCTCCCGACGTGAAAAGCGCTATATCAAATGCAAGGATTATTATTAGTATTATTATTATTATTATTATTATTCCATCATCTGAGGTGACATACTTTTAGTTGTACGTTCTCTTATCTGTCAGAATGCTTTTGGTTCAGGATTCAAGTTGACAATTTGAGATCAAATTCTAGATTGAAATTCAAATCCATGAAACAATAAATCCTCATAAACTGTCATTCATGACAGCCGTTGCTCCCGTATCATAATGGAAACTAAAAGAGTAATTCGCAATTATTTTGCCAAAAGTCCTATGCGATCATTATCTTCCACGTGAACAGACAAGTCAGTACCTCAGTCGAATAACAGTAACAAACCTTTCATTTGATAAAGCACATTATCTCGTGTTAGAGACGTCTTAAAGAGCTGCATTGAAAATATTGTAAAGTGAATTCATGGTACGTTTTGCGTCATCCAAGAATTGAATTTTTTTTATCTTTTATTTCCAGGATTTATTACCGACCCGGAAAAGTGATACAAAATGTTGGAAGGCCGCCGGATATGCTTATCTCTTCCAAATGCTCCTCGACTTCAAAATACTCCACTTCAAATCCCCTTCTGGATTAAAGAGGACAATTTGTAAATGCTTAAATTTAGCTGGCAGCCTTCTTTGATTTCTTGATCAGTTGGACATAAATAGTAAAGTGTCGCCCTCTGAAGGCCAATGTGCCACAATTCATCACTGCTTCATATTTCATGGCAAACTTGAAGTAAAGCAGTGATTGTAATAATAATGTGTTGAGGTTCCCAGTGGCTTATATTACTGAGGCTCAGAGTACAGTAACACTCCCCGCTGTCAGACACTGTGAGACCACAGACACTGAAGCCCCCCCTTCCACACACCAAATCCTCGCCTCACAATTATGTTGATCTGTTCTGAGCCCCAAAGGGCCTTTTTCATTATAATACTTTACATTGCAACACAGAATTGAGCCAAACTTGCCAACGGCAATTGTACATTGTTGTACTTGCGGACTATTTAACCAGTAATAAATAGGAATCCGTTGTTATTCGATTGGCGAACCACTTTCCGGGTTAATAATCCCTCCGAAAGTTGTT